TTGGTTCTGAATGTGGGTGAGGTGGGCAGTGTTAAGAAACTGTCCCTTATGTTTGCACTGCTCTCTTCCATGGTTACATTCCCATTACCTGCTTTTGCCTGACTGTGGCTCTTTGTCTGCCTACAGTAATTCCATTGTATGGCCCCATGATTTGACAAAACAGCATTATTCTCATAAATCCTGTCAGTCCCAAAAAGTGCACTTGCGTGACTGAGGGGCAGCTGTTAACTGTAGGAACATGGGAATTGCTAGAACCCAGCAGAGTCCATCATCCCTAATCCTTACTTTGACTGTGGCCACTATCCATATCTTCTATCCCTTTCTTTTTTAAAAAGAAAATAAACATAAGAACAACCTGTGGCTTTTTTTTCAACTGAGACTTATCAAAGTTTTGAGAGCAAGATAGAGTCAATTTTGTTGCTTCCTAATATTTTTTTTTTGTCCTGTTGAAAAGGTACTGGATTTACACTGCAAGGTTCCTGCGAGCCTAGAGGTGAATGCATTTTTAATATCGCAATTGTTATAACTCTATATGACACAGAAGGAAAAGCTCGACTTACTGATCATCAGTTTATACCCTGAAGCATGAAAGCAGGTAGAATTTCTTGATAACAATGAAATACTTATACGTGATTTGTTGTCACAGTCACGCTATGACATAAACAAATCAGAATTCTCTGAAAGCATCTAATCAAGTGTTGAAAATCTGAAAGTCCACAGCTTCTTGATTTGTAATTCTTGCAAATAAAAGGAACAGTAGATAAAGATGTAAAGACTATTTATTGGACAGAGCCTCAAGCAGTTTTGCCTTTGGTCTTAATTAGTATCTGTAACTTTTGTGTAATTTCCTTCTTGGTAGTTTAATATAATCTTTGACTGATAAACATCTCTTGCTACCTCTAGAAGATACTTCTTTTGTTACAACTCCGATTGCTGCATATATTTTACATGTACTTTTAAAAGTCATGTTTTGGAAATCATTATCTTCGTGATCAAGATAATGCTGTAAATGTAGAAAGGTACAATAAGGGGAAATTGTTATTTTTATGTGTTAAATACTCTATGCAGGTGTAAATATGGTATTTTTCCAGCCAATACATTGCATAAACTTTTATATATTTTTAAGGCCATCTCTGCAGTTAAATGGAAATAAATTAGTTAAATCAGACTTTTCAGGATATATAAATAGCTGAACCAGGCTGGTTATCTTCCAGTGCTGTCCCTGAGCAATCAGAGGATATTGATGGGAATAGCTATGCCCACTTCATCCTCCTGGGGGAAGCAAGTAAACAACTAGGAGCAAACAACTCCAAGCTTTGATACTCAATGAAAAATTCCAGCCCAAGGTCGTGTTTTAGAACCTGTCTAGGTTTGAATTTTTAATTTCTGTAGTAAAGAAGTTAGTTACAAAATCTTACTCATTTGCAGTGTAAATATTCTGTCATTGTGATTTCCACTCATAGAAGAGGAATACAAGCTGTTTAAGCAGCAGCCACCTGCCTTCAGCATATTATCCTTGTGCTGCAAGTCCAGAACAGTTCTTCAGATACACATGTATACCTGTAAATAGTCTGCTCTACTGACTATATCCACTGTGTCCACTACAGCAGCACAGAAACAGCAGCGATGCCCTGGCCACCTGCCAGGCCATGCCCACAGCCATGGCTGTTATCAGAACGTTCCCAGGCCCAATTCAGTAAGGTGATAAGCAGTACAGTGCTACAGCAGGCAGAGAAAGCAAAAAGCGGCCACCAACGAGCAGTAGGCTCTAATACAGAGTCAGGAAAGCAAACCTCATAGCAAACACAGGAGCCTGCTGAGTACTAGGTAAACATCACTAACAGCAATAAATTCAATCTAGTACATTCCAATCAAACCCACTGTTACCTCGAACCCCTCAAGCCCAGTGTTGAGCACCAAAAAGGACTGTGGTGGTTTAACCCCAGCCAGCAACCAAGCCCCGCTCCCACTCACTCACTCCCCCACCAGTGGATCGGGGAGAGAATTGGAAGCTGGAAAACTTGTAGTTGAGATAAAGACAGCTTAATAGGAAGAGCAAAAACCACCCACACAAGCAAAACAAAACAAGGAATTAATTCACCACTTCCCACGGACAGGCAGGTGTTCAGCCATCTCCAGGAGACCAAGGTCCCGTCACACATAACAGTGACTTGAGAAGACAAACACCATCACTCCAAACATCCCTCCTTTCCTCCTTCTTCCCCTCAGTTTATATACTGAGCATGATGTCATACGGTCTGGAATATCCCTTTGGTCAGTTTGGGTCACCTGTCCCAGCTGTGTCTCCTCCCAGCTTCCCAGCACCCTCAACTTCCTTGCCAGCGTGGCAATACGGAAAGTAGAAAAGGCCTTGGCTCTGTGTAAGCCCTGCTCAGCAATAACAAAATTAATGTAATCAACGCTGTGTTCAGCACAGATCCAAAACATAGGCCCATACTAGTAAATATGAAGAAAATTAACTCTACTTCAGCCAAAACCAGCACAATCTGCCTTACTGATATCAATCTAGTTGGTTTGAGGTTATTTTGTAGATTTTTCACTGCTAAGAAATTCAACCCTTTGAGTTTTACCTTTCAGTTGGTAGGTTGTTTTTGTATTTAAACTGATTTTTAGGAAAGCGTATATTTCTTCAACTTAAAACTATTCTCTATCTTTCATCTCCCAAAATTTAACTATTTTTATGGGTTATGGGTGGGAATTGGAGAATAGAAGCCTCAGACCTTTTTTAGAACCATTCTGAATAGTTTTAGAGAACAGCTGAATAGCTGTAATCTTTTGAAAAGATTAAAAATTCATAAGGGAATAATAACATCTCAATTTTTACTTAATTAACAGAATTCCTAAATCTTAAAAATGTCATCTTATCCTAATTAACTTGTTCTTTTATAAAGGAACCCTTGCTGTAAACCCTGAGGTGAGAAAGCCACCAGATGTTTGATGGCTTCTTTTTTTTCCTTTTTTTCTGAAGGCAAACTCTCAGCAGTTATTGAAAAAATATCTCACATGATAAATCTTGAAGATGAAAATGATATTTAAAATGTTACTTCCAGCCACTTATCTCACTACAGTTAAATTTTGCCACAGAGCATAGCACAACCCCCAGAGAATTGAAGTCTGTCACTCAGCTCTGGGATGTGGTTGTAAGAAGGAATCAGCATAACTGAAATGACGATGAGAGAAACAGGAGTCTAACCTCATGAACTAGAGATCTCAGAGGTGATTAAATCTGCCTGCTTCTCATCCCATGGTTTTTTACAGTGATTGTAACATTCCTGTTACACACCATCTATAAAAATGATCACTTGAGAGATAGGCTTGCCTTGAGCAGGGAGTAGATGAAGTATAAATCAATTCAAATGTAATAGAGGAAAAGTGAAATTAATACAGCTGTGCTCGGGGCATTTGTTACTGTCAGGAGAACTGCATGCATTATGTCACACAAGGGTAATCTGGTTTGTGTTGGTTTGTGTATTTACTGAGGAAATCTTTGACCACTGCAGTATGATGTAGCAGAGATTTTGATTCACGTACTCTGACTGTGTAATATCCAAATCAGTCATTTAAGCAAAATCTTTCATTTTGAAATAGCAGCAACAATAACAAAACTATTTTGCTTGTGGCCTCTCTTCAATATTTGTGTGGAGGAGTATATCCTAGGAAAAGTGAACTCCAGGGTTGTGTGTACCTCATTTTTGGAGTAGTTCCAGGTTAGATTTGAAATTTTCAAGCCAAGCTCTGAGGTTCTCCAAACCAGTTTGGTCATTGGATCAGCTGCTACCTTGCTGCAGCTATCCTGGGCTACCACGAGTGTGGGGCACTTACCTCTATTTGAGGTCTTTGAACTGAATGCAGGTAAGCAACTACCAACATCAGGTGATATGCACAGGTTTATAAGTAATGGCCGGATATTGTTTTGAAAGAGATATTAATTGTTCAATTCAATTTGGGAGTTATAAAATAACTTGTGTGTGGTGCAGCAGCAGCTACATTAATTTTATTGGCCTATGGCATTCACAATAGAGGAGGAGATAATTTGTCTTCCCAAGTTCGGGAACTGTTAACAACCTTAGCTGTTGTAGGCCGGGCTGAGATTGAACAGTTAATCCTGAATAAAAGCTGATTGTATAAAGTTGCTCTTTGATATCCAGTGACTGTTAGTAGGAGAGTCCTACTTTAATAAATAATAAACCTACCGCAACAAGTAAATGGTACTAAAAGTGTAATAAAATGCGTCTGAATTGTAGAAGCCACCCAAAATTAAAGGAAAAATAAAAAATACTCATAACTTATATAAAGCAAACAAGGGGATATGTGATACAGAAAGGAAGTAAGATATGTGCACTCAACAGGAGTCATACTTTAGAAGAATCTTTGTGAAACCGAACAAGAAAAATCCTTAAAAATATGGGGAGCTATACTGAAGAAAACATTCCCTCTGGCTCTGTGGGAGGTAACAGGTGATGGGACACAGCTGAATCTTTGAATGGTGCCTTAGTGATGAACTGAAAATCTGAGTGTTCTGGTTTTTTCTGGTATAGCATGACTATGCCAGAAGCATGGTATGTTTTATAGGAAAAGAAAATAGGGAGTTAAAAGGATATATAATAGTGTAATCTGCTGACTGTCTAGGTAAGTTGCAGAGAAAGTAATCTGCTGACTGTCTGGCAGTTGCAGAGAAAGTAATGTTGTACTTCTAAGAATTTGGTGCTAATTGGAATCGTGTATATATGTTAAAATTATGATTAATGAGTGGTAATGAGTAAACATGATGTTCTGAACACGCAGCTTGCTTGAAATGCCATGGTTTCATGGAGACACGGAGCAATCCTGCCAGGGACACGCCTAATATAACTGTATAGATAGTGTTACATTAATAATGGGCACTTGTTCTCTTTATTTTTAACCTATTTCTTATCTTTTTGATTCATATACTTTTCAAATTAGATATAATAATGTCTATTTTGCTTCTTCTGTTCCAGCGAATTCGAGATCTAGAAGATAAAATAGAGCTTCAAAAGAGGCAACTCAAAGAAATTGAGGAAAAGGTAAATAAAATTCTGGGCAGCACCAATGGATTTCTTCTCTACAAATTTATTTTTCTCTGTTGCATTGATGTTAGTACTCCTTAACCTAGTATCATTAAATCTATTTTTAAAGCAAGATAAAATTGGAGTTCAAAACATTGCTGTGTGAAATGATGGTTTTTCTCTAATCTGCTCAAAACCATTTCCTATCCAGACTTTCTGTCAATTACAGGAAGGCATCAAGGGGTCTGGAGAGACACTAGGCTAGTAGGGGGAGGATTTGATGATGTTTAGATCAAAAAAGAACATACAGATTTGTCTCTGACAGATTTGTTTAGCTCAGCCCTGTTTGGGTATCATTGCTCTGCCAAACTTTCAAGTACTGAAAATTAAAACAAAATTAATAAGATGCCTATGACATAATTTACAATCGAGAATATTTCTTACTTTAAGATAGAAACAAATTAATATCCTGGGTCCAAATTTTCTTGTCTTTTGAAAAAGCTCTGATCAAAGCTTGAGACAGCAAATGTATTTGTGTCACTGTTGTTCCCAAGCAAGGGATGGCCCAAGGTTCGTGGGCTATCAGCTCAGGAGTTTCCCAGGTCTGTGAAGTTTAGACTGCTCTGCAGGGCATGGGATGACCATGGGTCTTTCTCTAGGCCCCAGGAAAATGTTTTAGCTTGTTACTTTTGCTGAATCAGTGCCTAGATCCCAACACGAGTTACATCGTCTCAGGTTAATTTTCTCCAGCATTTATGGATACCTAATCCTACATAAACACACTGGTAGGCTGAATAAAGAAGTTAGTGGAGTTTTCAATAATTTTTTTTCTTTTGGGATGAGAATGTGGTGAAAGATGAGAGTTGAAAGAGGTCAGTGGGTCTTGCAGAACTGAGAGAGTCTTTGGCAACCAGCTCACTGGATGTTGAAAGGTTTCTTCCTCACCCTTCAGTCCCAGTGTCCCATCATCTGTCCTCCCAGTGTCACCCTCTGGGGCTATTGCACTTCTAGCAACTAATCCAATTCCCTCAGCATCTTCCTTGGTCCCTTATGCTACCACATTAGTTGACTCCCCTTTGCTGTACCTTGTCCTGCACTTTTCAAACTGTGATATCCAACTGTGTTTGTGGAAGAGCCAGGAGAAGAGCCAGGAGAAACTGTGCTGGGTGCTGCTGTTTTCAGTAGCAGAGAAGCACAGGAATCATCCACTGCTAGAAGGGCTCTTTTGCTGCCTTTGCCCTTTTCTGCCCCCAACTGCTTGTATAGCTGAAGCTGTTCCTGTCTAGCAGCCAGTGATGTCTCATATCAAAGCAGAGAAATGCTGAGGGATAGATGATACTTCCACATGTTAATTACTTCAAATATTAGTGTTTATCCACCTACTTTAAAACATCAACATCTCTGGATGTTGCTATTGCCCAAATATAAGCCTTTAAGTCATTGCCATTACAGTTTACAAATTAGGTATTGGATTAGACAGGCTGATAATTTTGAAAATGGAAGATAGCATTATCTCTACTGGTTCACCAGCTGGATGGATGGAAAAAGCATTAGAAAAGAAACAGCTTAATCACAAGCTTAGCAGAAAGCTGGTAATGAGTTAAAATGATTAACATCCTCTTTGCCTTAATGTTGCATTAGCAAGAGACCTGAGAAAAGCTTCATCTTTTTCTATTAACCTTCAACTTCTGAATGGGTGGAGCACTTCTTTTTATCTGTATTACATTTGAATTATTTTTTTTCCTTGGGATTAAATCCCATTCTGAATTTGATTGACCAAAGGAAAATTATGTTGCCAGGGAATCAGTGAATGATACACTTTTACCTTATTGTTCTTCTTAAGGTTTAATGTGTCAAAGAGCACAGACTGACACCTACAAGCTACTGATACTGAGCACAATATCTGAGCCTCATCACTGGGGGTAGCTAAGGGCAATGCACCATTTATGGTGTCACGAGTATGACTTTTTATTTTCCTTTAGGAATGACTTCAATTTTTAAGTTTTATGTCAAATCAGAACACAAGGATGGCAGTATTTCTGCCCTATAGATTCTTCAGCAAACTGTCTTGTTTCTAAAGGATATACAGAAGAAAAATGTAAAATCTCGATTTTAGTCTATGAGTTGAAATATGAGGAACAAGTGGTGTTTAAACACATCATACTTTTCTCATAAGCGATCCTTTACCATTTTAGCTGCACTTAGTTTGTATCCTGGTGAGTCTTGGTTTAGGACAGTTTTCACATGTGTAATTATAGGTACTTCCCTAAGTGATGCACAAAGCCAAGCCTAGTATTTCTCGAGTTGAATAGTCCACAGATGTTACCATTGTAGAACTGCTCAAATGCTGAATTTTGTGCCCCTTTTAGAGTAAGTTCGGTATACTTTATCTTTCTTTCAGATCAACTTAATTAATGATATAAGACTAACTGCTGTAATGTCATTGGATTTCATATTACATATCTTACATCTTCTTTCTTTTCTTTTTTCCTCATTTTCTTTTGATCTTATGTTATAGTTTTTGTTCCTTTTTTTGTTTTTTTCACTAGCATTCATTCTGTGGCCTTGATGACACAACCGAGCCAAGATGTGTGGTTGGTATTCTTTATATTTCTTCATAGTCAATTTTTAGCTCTTAGATTTTGCCATATTTTGAGAATTGTTTGTAAGACTCTGAAACCATAGGGAAGAGCATACTGGTTTTGGTTGCACAGAGAGGAAGAGTCCTCTATAAAATCCAACTTGGATGCTTTCCATCCTAGACTTCTGCAGAAAGTCATTGGGTTTTCAATGAAAAATGATTTTGCATTCTAAGATGCTGACTGCTGTAACTGCAGTGGGTGCTTTTCATTTCTGCAACACAGGTACATTTTGTCTCAAAATTCAGGTATTGCTGTAGGATCCTGCCTTCTGTCACGCTGGATGGAGAAGCGGCAAAACATTGGTTTTCAATTTTTTTTCCTAAAAAGTCCTGTGAGCATCACCACCCATGCAAAAAAAAAGGAGTTCATTTTACTTCCTCAAGATCTTTGAGGCCATGAAATCACTTAGGAAATAATGACCTATTTTCCCTTCTATGAGTGGATGTGAAGGTTACAATGTGACTACCCCCTGTGTGCCAGCGTAACATGGAAGGGTTTTTTTACCCAAAAACCTCTGTGCCTCTCCTTTGCAACTCTACCATCATTCTTGCTGTCCTTTCCACAGCATCCTGATCCTTTCAGCTCAGTGCAAAGGACAGAGTGAATTTCTTCAGCTATAGCAGGAGCCATAGTGGCAGTGCTCACCTTTCACAGAGAACAAGAGGGAAACACAATTTAGAAAATAAGTCCCAGTCCTCTTCCCTGGAGCAATACAAGTTGCACACTGCCTTTCAGTAAGGATGGTAACTCAACAATCTGTCAGAGAATTAAGCTGTGGTTTAAAACTATTGAATATTATACAGTGTTTGTGTTGTTACTGTTGTTGGGGGTTTTTTTGTTTTGTTTTTAACTGATAATACACAATGCTTTTACCTTTACAATTTTTCCAAGTTTTTTCTTCTTTTAAATCTGTTGTGAATTATGCTCATGGAATCTCCTTAGACTAGGACATGCATTCAATCAACACCTTTGAAACTGCTATACACTTCTGTATGATGAAGAAGCATGATGACAATAGTTACTCCAAAAAACTATTATATTTACCTTACATTAAGCTTGAAACAGTATTTTCTTCTGCCCAAATCACAAGTACTTTTGCGAAATCAGACCTGTATTATAGGCTCTTTTGAGGGTTTATTCAGGTCCCAGTACCTTCAGTTATCATCTTTCTGTTGATGCTCTTTGGAACTGGCTCTGGACTTTCATTATGAGCATTGCTGCATATGTTTTTTATTTTTCAATAAAATGGTGATAGAAACAGATGGGTAGAATGCAATTCAAGGGTGTTATTGCTTTGTAACAAAAAAAGCAGTAGCTTTCTTTTGATTGTTAGATGGGTGTTGAAAAGTGGTGGAAATTGAACAACATTTCTCAGCATTTTCAGCATTCCTTCTGAAATTTCCTCTGATTTGTCAAAAATTGAGCATGTGCATATAGAGAGGTGTTTGAAGAAAGGTGAAGCCTTTTGGTACACTATTCACCTTTCCACAGTTTGAGATGAATTTTTTGTTCTGAGGAAATCAGATAGGACAGATGCTGTTTTGGTTCATATAAGCTTGAAAGAGTAATGTTAAAGGAATCACCAAACTATTATCTTTGAAGTTTCATCCAGGTTTTTTGTACCAGTCCTGGTTAGAGGTGCTAACATCTGGATGAATATATTTGCTTTTAAATATTGTGAAAAGTATACTGGCCAAGTCTAGAGAAACTTTATAAACATTCCATAAACTTAGTGAAATTACCAGCATTTTTAAAATTCCATTTGAAATATTTTGAAATACTGTGCATTCGAGGGATCCATAGGCTTCCATGCTGATATAACTGATAGTATTATGGGTCCCCCCTTGGATAAAAGAGAAAAAAAACCTGAAAAAAAATTTACAAGTATTATTAATCTCCAGAAAATGCATTGTGCTGCTATAACCTGCTATTCTTCCTGTCAAAAGTATTTCAGTAGTTAAATTCAAACTTGGTGATAAGCATTTTGAGGGAATAACACAGGAATAGTGACCTCGTAGCCACATAGCTACTCTGCTCTTGACATCTGTAGGAGTGCACATCACATTGTGTTGCTAATGTGAAGGGCAGCGTCCTTTAATTCATTTTGCCAGAGGTGACTCTGCCTCTGATTAATGTAACACAAAAAAGCCAATTTTAAGATACTTAGCTGTAGTTGGATTCTTGAACACTGTTAATTATTTCAAGGCAAACCATGTGATTTACTGATCGTAATTTTGATTACGTTCTTGTTATTTTGAAGGTAATATAAAATGAATTTAAGGTTGGATGCCAACACTTATTTCTAAAGTAATGTTATTTATCTAAAGCTCAGCAGACTTTTTCTTTTCTTTGTTGTTTTTGTTTTCTGTTTTGGTTTTTGTTGTATTTACAGGCTATTAAGAGAGCGTATGGAGTGAACAGCTGAGTCCACTTGCAAAAATACAGAAAATATTTAAGCAGCTTTAAATTGGTGCATTTTTTCATAAAGCAGTTTGCATAGTACTTCAAGCTGCAAAGAATTTGAATTTAAAATTAGAGATTTTTTAAAGATGTAGCTTCAAGCTGGAATGATTTCATAATCAAATAAGGACCAGCACATCATAAACACAGAAAAAAAAATCTAAATAGAATTTACACTCTCACACCAACCAAACAGCAGAAAATAATACAAGTGCAATTACTGGCTGCTATGTGAACTGTTATCTACCAAATGGTTTTCTTACAGTACTGAGATTTTTGTCTCCATACTGCATGCTTTCAACAAATGTGGTTTGCATTTCACCCAGGAAACACAGGATCTCCTTTTAATATCTATATAAAAAAAGCTAAGTGTTTGACATTAAGTTGTCTATAGTAAATAGCTGACAGGAAGCAAACTGTTCAAAGTTGGAAACAAATAAAGATTTACGACCCTGCAGTGGTAAAATTCATATTAAATTCTTAAGTTGGAAATCCACGAGGGAGAAAGGAAGTGTTTTGGTGAAAGGCAAGGTGATGGATTGAACTAAGAGAACTTTAAAGTGGGCAAGAACTTTGTGGGAGATATGATTTCTTGAATGTTTCTTGTAAAGTAAGGCAAACTTGTAAAAAACAGCACTGGGAAAATGGAAGATTCCAAGGTGGCCTGAGGGGTCAGGAAAAGAGAATGAGTGATATACTGTGCTCAGTTATCTCTTCAAGAAAGAAGAGGGGCTTGAACAGATGGGCACGTTGATGAATACAATAAGCAGAGACATAGTTGGATATAAATATTTAGAAATCATGGCATCCTCTCAGATGAAATAAAAAAATGTTGACATTAGCTACCAGGAAGCAAAAATGGCACAACCTCAACCAGCAGAGGCAGATAAACACTCATGGACATTGACCACCTGAACTGCAAGAAAACTTCTGGGTGAAGCACAGGCTGATATAATGAAAGTTGAAAAGAGCTTTTCAAGAGAGAGAATGGTTACAAAATTAATAAAGATTACTCTTTCAAACAGGGAAAAGCAAATTGAAGTTTCAGAACTGGAAAGGCAATATGAAGAAACAGATAATTTTAATTATTTCTGAAATGTTGAGATAAGCTGAAAATATTAAGAGCACAATATTAGAAGATAACTTTCTCCTTCCTCACATCTTTTTGGAAATCATATTTGTGTAGAAAGCCACAGAGAAACAAGTCTACTCCCATGGACACAATGAACTCCAACATGAACACAGAGTGGAATTAGATGGTTACAATAACACAACACATGAAGTAGAAATTACGATTGACAAAAATAACATAAGGCAATGAACAATTAAGGAAGGACAAAGAAGGCTGAGGGAAAATTTTGTCACAACAACTGATTTTCTCACTGCTAAAGGTGCAAGAATCAGCCTCAGGAGCAGCCAGTTTTCTCAGATAATCATCAGTCTTTGAAGATCAGAGGTGTACCCTCCACAAAGAATCACCAGACAACAGCATTTACCTGCAGAAGGTGCTGAGACACTGAAGATTAATTTAGTCAAATGCAGCAAACTGTGGCTGATGTGAGGGTCTGAATAACACTGTTTCCTGGTAAAAAGCACAGTTTACCTTGGAAACAAGGACCATGCAGAAGTCTGGAATCTTGTTCTCCAAAAGAATGTGTTGCTCGCAATGTGTTGTTCAAAAGGAACAAGCTTTTAGAGAATGTGTTTTCATATAGAGATTTTTCATGTTTTAGTTAAGGCTGTTAGCAGTGTGATGACAGAGTGGAAAAATGAGGTTTTCACTGCAAAAGGCAGAATTCTGGCATCACTCTGAAGAAAAGGACCAAAACAGGAGATAAACAGAGCTTGAGATAATCAAACCCAGTGATGATGAAGGAACAGAAATTGGAAAGTGTGATTCACTTGGCAAAGAAACCCTTTTCTTATAGGCACAGTTTTGCTCATCACTACTTTGGATATGAAACTATAAGCACAAACATGGGATGGTCAGAGCACGTGGCTGCCACGGTAAGCACACTGCACAGACAGGAGAGGATCTTCTCACAAAGCAGAAAAGGTATGAGCAATTTCATTTTCTTATTTTGTGATGTGTTTAGTTACACTGTAATTGATATGTGACAGTTTTGTTGATGTCAGTTAAAGAATCTGGCTGATTGGGGTGATATTTTCCATTGCATTCATGATGGTTTTTTTCTGTGCTGAGCTAGCAGGATTCATAGTTTTGTAAAACAGAGTATATCATTACAGTCTTTCTATCCACTGTATGCTGGTATTTATTATAGAGCTGGGAACAGTGTATTAACAGGGCATTGGAATAGGCTGTCCAGGGAAGTGATGGGATCACCATCCCTGGAAGTGTTCAAAAGCATGTGGATGTGGCACTTGGGGACATGGTTTAGTACTGGACTTGGCCATGCTGGGTTAGTGGTTGGTCTTGATGCTTTTAGAGGTCTTTTCCAACCTTAATGTTTCTATAATTCTATTATTCAATCCATACAATATGGTGGGCCTGATTTTCACTTTCTGTGACACAGCTTTTAAATCATCAGTCCCAGCTGTGTAAGTGAAGAAAGAAACTGTGTTTCTCATTGTTGTTGTCAGTTCTAACAGCTTTCCTGGTTTTATGCTGCAGTACTCAATAGTTTTCAGGATGAAGCAGCAGAAGCATAGAGCCTGATGGACCATGAGGTGTGAGGTCAGCTTTAGAAATTGTTGTATTAACTTTCATTTTATGAGTGAATAAAAGAGCACCTTTAAACAAGAACACGTACTAGAAATAGGAGAGTAGAAATCAGTGTTGTAATGATTTTGTGCCATTTTCTGCTCCTCAGCGTCAAAAATGTTACTTTTATCTTCTTCCTGTATATTCTGCATTTGTCAACCAAAAAAAAAAAGTAATTGCATTATTTCCTGGAGAATAGATCCAAACTCCGTGGTTGAATTCCAATTACAGGTCCAATTCCAAATCAATACAAATGTAGCAAAATCAAAGGCAGTTCACAGATGCCGCTGGTTGTAGTTTAACCCAGCTGACAACTAAGCATCATGCAGCCTCTCACTCACTCCCACCGGTAGGGAGGAGAAACAGAAAGAAAAGGTAAACCTCCCGGTTTGAGATATAAACAGTTTCATAATTGTAACAAAATATTACTATATTAGTATACTAATGCTAATATAAATATGCTAAAATACGAGTAGCAGTAGTAATAATAATAAAAATAACAATAGTAATTATAAGGAGATGGAGAGAAAGTAACAGGACCCAAGAGAAACAAGTGCGCTGCACTGTACAGTTTCTAAGGTGTGGAATATCCCTTTGGACAGTTTGGATCAGCTGTCACAGCCATGATCTCTCACAGCTTCTTGTGCAGCTCCTCACTGGCAGAGCATGAGACACTGAAAAGTCCTTGATGCAGGGTAAACACTACTCAGCAACAGCCAAAACATTGCTTTGTTATCAACATTATTCTCATACTAAATCCAAAATACAGCACTGTACCTGCTACTAAGAAGAAAATGAACCCTGTCCCAGCTGAAACCAGGAAACAAGCGAGTTTCTGTAAATAAAGGTGAACTCAGGCTGAAGAATTTTTAGATCTATAGCTAAAAGAGGTGAAAGAAAAGAACCAAACTTAGCTTGCCTTCTCAGGCCCCAATTTGAACATTCCTTTTAGGCATAGTTTCATAACCTATCAGAGGTGAAGTAGATATAAGTAAAATACTGCATGGAGAATTCCAAAATACAAGTTAAATATACTGAATGTTTTCTTTGAAGTAGTCATAGAATGCCTTTTGAATAGGAAATATCCTTTTTTAATCTTCTGTCTTGGAACAATAATAATATAATACATTTATCCAAAATAAACATGCTCAGTTTTATGAACTTTCAAATAGTAAAAAATTATTCTCTTTTCAAAACTTTGATGCCTAATTCATTTATTAATTAGTCTAACTAAATCTTTTATGAGGATCTCATGAACAGCAACTCCTTTCATACATGCTAATGGGGCTAATGAAATGAGACTTTCTCATAAATAATAAATGTGTTCAGAATCAAGAAGGACTGTTCATTTGATCATCAGAGGCTTAGACTCTGTTATTGCATGCTTAGAGTGCAGTATGTTCTGAACCTAATAATTTGGGGGTTTTTTTCATCATGGATCCTTCATCTGGAAAAGAGCAAGAATTTTGTTACTCTGTTAAAATGCCCAGCAATGAAGGATTTGGTATCCTGAATTTCAATGTTAAAATTGCTACTTCCTGGATTTTCCAGGAATTAGAAGATGCAAGCACACCTGATGGAAAAGTAAACAGTGCTGGAGAAGAGAACTTAAATCTCAGAATAAAAGAGCTGGAAAAGTCAGAGCAAAACCTGAGAGGTGTTCTAGAGGACTACGTGGAGTCAGATTCTGTCCTAAGACATAGGTAAATAAAAGGGGATTTTGCATTAAAATTCATTGTGATGTAACAAATGTACTCTTCCCTTTGCCCTATGTACATGATAATTACATTATATGATTATCATTACATGATAATGCAAAAGCAACAAAAACATCAACTTTATGTGTTTTTAGAGTGCCTGAGAAGATGCATGTATAAGTGCTTTGTGTAGCTGTCAGAACAGAAATGCAATATTCATTTTTTTAAGAATTATTATTTAAATAAGGGTTTCAGCATGGTCTAAAATGTTGTTACAAATAACCAGACACCTTTCTCAGGATACTGCATTCTTAAATATTCATAAGGTGTAAATTCTGTTTGTAAAGTTTATCCCTTTCCTTTTAAAGTAAGAGTTAATTAGGAATTTTGTGTTTTAAAAACAGTTTATTGCTTCAGAAAGCTTCATTCAGTTTAGTATGTTAATGCTAATCACTAAAGTAGATAAAGGTGCCATTACTCATTAATTATACATTTGACTAGAATAATTAGTTTTTGATAATCAGCAAAGGCACTGTTTTAAAGAAAGTCAAAGATTTCAAAAGTAAGAAAATGGAAATGGCATTAAAATAATTATTTGTATAATTTTTAAATTACTTTGATTTATCAAAGATTTGTCCAGAAATGTTTTAATAATGGGCTTTTTTTTTTCAAAATAATAATGAATCTTTTTTAAAAAACTTTCATAGGAATAAACCTATTGTAACAAGCATATTGGGGAGCAGAAGATATTGAGAACTTTATTTCAAACCAAAACAAAGACAGTGTGAGGGAACAATTCGAGGGAGAGCAAATGAACAGCTGAAACTTGACCGAAAGCCCATTTTCAGGGACCTTGGGTAGCCAGTAAAAAGAAAAGGAATCCTATACCTGGAGTCCTTGTGGCTGAAGCACAGAGAGATGGCACAAGGAATGATGCAGAAGGCAGAACTACCAGGAAAAAGAGAGAAGCAGAACTCAGCCAAGGCAGAGTTCTGGGCTGACGTGGCCCTGTTTCCTTTGATACCAGTGTCAGATGATGCAGTCAGTGCCTGCAGAGGGGAGGACCTCATCAGGTTTACTTTGATACACGAATGAGCACTTATTTAACTGTGTGTTTTCTATCTTGATCCTGTTTCTTCAGAAATATTTTCTTTATGTGAGATTTTTGAGTAAAGGTAATGTTGTGGGGATGTAGGTAGCAGGAAATTTTGGCAAGGGGAAGTAAGTCAAAGCTTTAAGTTAGAAATGAGCAGGGGAGCTCACTGAAGGTTTGTTGAAGGACTCATTGAAGGACTGTTAAAAGTTGAATCAAGAAATTAAAAGAAGAACTAGCAGGGTCCTGAGAGACATTGGGGGTAAAGCGTGCCTCTCTGAGATGAGAAAAGAGGTGGCTCTAGTACCTGCCTCATGAGATGAAAGACTTCTAAACTTTCTCCTTAATAAGTAAGGGTTATTTTGGAATTCACAGCTGCTTAAAGCACTGAGAAAATTTTGATGTGTAGGCTGAAAAGGGAAGGAAAGTCTTAAGGAAAACATGAAGCTTGCTCTTGTAAGATTATTTTAGATTATTCCTCCTGTGTAGAGGAACCCCAACATATCATATCTTGAGCACAAGTCCTATGAGGAGAGGCTGAGGGAGCTGGGGTTGTTCAGCCTGGAGAAGAGGAGGCTCAGGGGAGACCTCATCACTCTCTGCAACTCCCTGAAAGGAGGTTGGAGCCAGATGGAGGTTGGTCTCTTCTCCCAGGCAGCTATCAGCAAGACAAGAGGGCATGGTCTTCAGCTGTGCCAGGGGAGGTTTAGGTTGGATATTAGGAAGAAATTCTTTACAGAGAGGATAATCAGGCATTGGAATGGGCTGCCCAGGGAGGTGGTGGATTCTCCGTCCCTGGAGGTTTTTAAGATGAGACTAGATGTGGCATTTAATGCTGTGGTCTAGTAACCATGGCAGTGTTGGATCAAGGGTTGGACTTGATGATCTCAGAGGTCTCTTCCAACCCAGATGATTCTGTGATTCTATGATCACACTATCTCATCTTAGACTACCATTTTAATAGAAACAGGCAAAGCAAAACCTGTATTTTGTCAAAATCCAGCCTTGTGGACATAGTCAATACAGTCATACATTATAGGTTTCAGTACCCACTGAAGGTATGTTACAAGTAAGATAAAATACAGGTACTTCTAGGTTACCTGTAACATTAATTTTGATGGGAAGCAATTACTATCATCATAAAATTTGAACTTGTTAACTGTGAGCCTAGCATAATTCTGTGATCAGATACATGCAGAGACTGAGGTGTTGTGGTTGCCTTTATGCTAAGTTGTTACTTCATATAGCATGCCAAGCTTCATTGAACAAAAATCTTGTAAATGTGTTTGATTATGGCTTTCATATTAAGCCAGCAGAGAGGGACTGAACATGAGTGTTGTCTTTAATAGTTTTGAGACTTTCCAGTGTAATGTCCAGACCTCAGACTTGTTAATGAAGTGTTACTAGTAATCCACAAACTGTTACTATTTTATGTTTGGGAGACAAATGGAAAAAATAAAGATAAATTTATGCATTGCTGATGACTGCTTATCTATCTGGAAGTGTACTGTGGAATTTACTTAGCAAAAATCTTCATTCTCACCATCACAGGATGAAAGAGCTGGAACTGTCACACAAAAAACTTCTTGTGATGATTGATCAGCTCAATGTGAAGTTGCAAAAGGTTGAAAATACCAATGTACGTGTTAAAGGGAAATTGCGAGACATTCAGGAGGATCTGATCAACTTGGTGAGGAGGATATTGTTTCAAATTACCTAGTTTATTTTCTCTTTGTGGTAGTAATTTATAAGTCAATCTCATTTCCAGTGATCTCTCTGTTTTTAAGCAATAAATCATCTCAGCCTTTATCTTTTTCTACAAACATAGGAATCAGAAGAACTTTTGGATTTTTTTTTCTTCCCCTTTCTATTTCTCTGTTGTTTTTGACAGCACTGCCATTGTTTCTTTCATTCAGGCCCTTGAGCTTTGAAATATATACTCACATTTCTTGCTTTCTCCCCAGAAGCCACTCAGTGTACTCCTTCTCCTTAGGTCAGACTTTATCTTTCTAAGCCCATACAAAAGGCATTTTTACCTAGTTTACACAGCTCATTGGATGGATCCATGAAAGTGGAGGAAGAATGAAAGTTTTTCAGGGACAGTCTTCAGTGAAACAATGTGTTTTGATTCTGTTTATCATAAGATATACTTTCATTTTCTCAGCATTTTAGAGTTGAATACTCTCACGGGACAATAGTACTGTGTGGCAAGACTCTCAAGTCTTACTTCAAAGTTGCTGCAATGTCCCTGTGATACTGGTGGCTTTTAGTCTGCTGAAAGCAAGGGCAGCGCGGGACTCATGAAATCCTCTCTGCCTTTCATCTTTCACCTCTGTATGTCGCTGTTCAAACACACTATAGTGCAAATGAAAATACCAAAGCCTGTTTTCAAGCCGTTTCAAAAGTCATCTATTCCTTCCTCCTTTTTCAGGAGGTTCATAAGAGGAGCTGACAGATGACACCTATAGTGAAGGGCAAAGGACAAAAGCTTGGTCTCTGGAAAGTGTGTGTCCTGTTTTCTAAAACAGAGCCACAGCTTCCCTGCCTGTAGCACCTCAGTGCTTCAATACTGTCAGCATTAAGGGTTTGTTGTAGATCAGAGCTGAATGTATGAATTCCAATTCTAAGGTTTATTTTGATTTAATATGTACTGTAGAACATGCAAAAAAATGCGTTTTAAAACTTTTTTTACTTTTTGTAGTAGTAGATGGGGGTGAGCTTGTGTTTTGTTTCCTACTGAGGTTTTCTGTGATGGCTGAAATGACAAAACAGTTTAGTTTTGCTCTAAAGGCAGGATTTTACTAGCTTTAGAAAAAATTCTATTTATGTCATTCCTGAGTTTTCAGAAAATAAGGGCAGAATTATTGGTAAATTAAAATAAATAAGGGAAGAAGAGATTTAGTATTAATATGCTAACCATACAACTCAATGAAATTGTAGGTTGAAAACCAAAAAAAGTCAGAGAAGAAGCAAAAGGAAAAATTGTGTTGGCTTCAGGAGCAGCTGAAGACAAAAGAAGAAGAAATAAAAAACCAATCAGAATATTTTGAGCACTACAAACAAAGACAGAGACAACAAACAGCAGTATTGAGAAAGAGGGAATGTTACCTTCGGGGTGAGGTATCTAGGCTGGAAAAGCAAGTCCTAGATCTTAGCTCCCATGTTGCTGTTTTGACATCCGAGATAGAAGAGGGAATGGTGCAGCATCTCCAGCAGGTGCTGGAATCAACGTTCAGTGGGACTCGGGGTTATAAACACCCTGACATGGAAGTAGTGGAATGGAAAACTTGTTTTGAAAATGTGGAGCATGATGTGAAAAGCCACCTTCAGGCATTTCAGCAAAATCTGAAGTTCTTAAGGGAAAAAGAGGAGGACAACAGAAGAGAACAGGGAGACCTGCTGACTGAACTGCAGTGCTCTCAGGACAATGAAGACTTCCTCAGAACAAAATTGGAAGAATCTTCCTGTCATGTCTATAGTTTGAAATTATCTGAAATCAAACTACAGGAAAAAATGGAAGAGCTTTTGGATGAAAACAGAGCTTTAAAAGATCACAGTACAATGATGTTGAAAAAGAAAAAAGAAAAAGACTCACAACTTGCAAGATTGGAGAATGGAGACAACAGTGTTGACCTGGTATGTCAACTGGTAAGTAAAAATAAGACAAAATATAATTGTTTGTTTTTCTTTATATCACCTTGAATTACACTTGTCATTAGATGTGCAATCAAGATGGAAGTATGAGACTTTTATCTTTCCTGAATTTTTTTTGTTTATATCTGTTTATGCATTCGTACTTCAAACTGTCTCATTCACACCCACTGGAATCAGTAGTTGGAGCTTCATTGCATCAGTCTTTTTATTAGGTGCACATTGAGGGCACTTAACAAACCCTTTTTCCTTAAGTG